AAGTATATATCTGGTACTTGAGTAAAAGTAGAAGTACTCAGATCTTGTACTTGAGTAAAAGTAGAAAAGTATTCTCATCAAAATATAGTGAAAGTAGAGTAAAAGTAGTCATTGTGCAGATTGGTCCATTTCAGAATAATATATATGATATGTTTTATAATGATTGATCATGAAAGTGTTCTCAAAGCTGGTAAAGGTGCAGCTAGTTTGAATGACTTTGTATACTGCAGGGTAGCTTGTGGATTTACTCCAGGTGGAAGGTCTGATTTAACACTTGGTTATATTTCACATCATTCATCCACATCTGTGAAGTAACTCAAGGTATTAATACATGTAGTGGAGGAGAAGTACACCATGTACCTCTGAACTGTAGTGGAGTAGAAGTACACCATGTACCTCTGAACTGTAGAGGAGTAGAAGTACACCATGTACCTCTGAACTGTAGAGGAGTAGAAGTACACCATGTACCTCTGAACTGTAGAGGAGTAGAAGTACACCATGTACCTCTGAACTGTAGAGGAGTAGAAGTACACCATGTACCTCTGAACTGTAGAGGAGTAGAAGTACAAAGTAGCAACACATTGAAATACTTAAATAAAGTACAAGTATCTCAAAATTGTACCCAAGTGTAGTACTTGAGTTACTTTACGCCACTGGCAGGGGCGGACTGGGACTAAAATTCAGCCCTGGAATCTGACCCAGCCCGGCCACATCGGGGGGGGGGGGGGGGGGGGGGGGTCATCAGAAAAAAAAATACAGTAACCTACTATTAGTTATTAGAAATCAGCTGTTTATTCAGTTCAAGGGATCATTCTCACCTAAAGAGGGAGGACACTCCTCAGATGTCTTAAACACATGGGACATCGTAAAACAGGAAACACAAACATACAGTACTATTTGTCATTAGATATTAAAATCAGCTGTTTATTAGGCTGCATTTATGCAGTTCAAGGGATCGTTCTCACCCACCTCTTGCTCTTGCCCTGCACTTGTGCCAGTTGAGCTGGTTCTTCCACCAGCTCAACTCTCTGTCCCTCATCATGAACGCAGGAGGCTGGCTGTATATCTGAACTCGCGCCCTCATCATCCTCTTCATCATCTTGCACTTGTTCTAACCTGCTGATGATAGTGCTTGTGAAAAAGATCTGTCAATTTGTGACATTTATATGCTTCACGTGCGAGTGACTTCACCTTGTTTCCTCTTGCCTTCTCGGCCCCACCTTTTTCTTTTCGTTTTCTTTGATTTTTATCCATGTTTTTTCATTCTCCCTGTCTGCCGTCTAATCCCTTCTCTTCGTGTGGCCGGTCTTTTTTCTTCTTCGTGTGTGATTATTTGACAGATAAGAACCACACAACTGCATTAGCGGCCGCTGTCGCCCTCTGTCGGCCGTCCGCAACTTAAAATATAAAAAAAAATGTAAAGGGCCGGCCGTTCTGTGGTTCTCCAGATTCTACAGATGGCCAGTCCGCCCCTGGCCACTGGCTATACAGATAGAAACACTAAGCCTTGCACAGAGGCATGACAATACATTTTCAAAATGCTCAACAGTGCTGCCAACATTATAAACTGACTGCTACACAATTAAAATAAATGCTTTTATACATTTCTATTAGATGTGACTCTTTGGCGTTTCTTTGCTTTAGTTGTTCTGACTGCTAACATCCTGTTGTTCCTCATTTTAAAGCCCATATTCCGGGGGGTCGGGGGGCTCGGATCCTTGTCACCTTTTTCATACCTGATGAGTTTGCATCCCTGGTGTGCTGTGTGTGTGTGTGTGTGTGTGTGTGTGTGTGTGTGTGTGTGTGTGTGTGTGTGTGTGTGTGTGTGTGTGTGTGTGTGTGTGTGTGTGTGTGTGTGTGTGTGTGTGTGTGTGTGTGTGTGTGTGTGTGTGTGTGTGTGTGTGTGTTTTGATATGCTTCATATATTAGATAATAATCTCTAACTCCTGCAGATGGTACCAACACGCTGCAACAGGTATGATGAAGGTGTGGCGCTGGGCATCCAAAGTTGAAAGTTGAACTCGCTCCGTAGCAGATATTCCCACGAGAGTGCGGAAAACTTAAAATACATTTATTTCAAATGTGACATTTTACCAATATACTCACGGACCACACAAGGAAGGATCCTTCAGAGCCACTACTTCAAGGATGCTACGTCATCGAGTCCCGCCGAAGGACTGTTCCAATGTCCAGGATCTACCGAGGACTGAGTCCTTCGTAGCGAGAAATTTCGAGGCCGCACATGTGTATCCTCCGCGGTCTTAAATTACCCACAATGCTTTGCGCACGGACCGATTTCCCAAATCTTTGGCGGAAATGGCTGAAGCGACGCAGTACACATTTAAATGTAAGTATGTTCGTGGTAAATGTGCACATGACTTGTGTTTAAAGTTTATAGTCCATTTGAGTTTTGCCCGTGTGAACGCAAACCGAACCGTCTGAAACATGAAGCAATGGAACAGACTGACCATGTCCTACCAAGGAAGACATGTCCTACCAAGGAAGACATGTCCTACCAAGGAAGACATGTCCTACCAAGGAAGACATGTCCTACCAAGGAAGACATGTCCTACCAAGGAAGACATGTCCTACCAAGGGAGCGTCCTCCAGAGCCACTATTTGTGTGTGTGTATAATTAAATCAATGTTTTGTTTGTTTGTTTCAGGGTATTCTCTGAAGGCACTGACACACACTCTCACACTCTCACACTCTCACACACACTGACACACACTCTCACACTCTCACACTCTCACACACACTCACACGCACTCACACAATGAGAAGAGGGTGTGTTTACTCTGGTGTTGAGAGTTGTGAAAATATATTCAAGTTATACAGGTATATTACATTTGTCAACATGTTAACAGCACACTCTCACACGCTGGTGCTGCCTCAGGCTCATAAACTCATTCACTAATGACTCACAGGACTGCACAGGTTAGGGTTCAGATGAATATCCACAGGGTTATAAAGTTCCTCTCTTTACCCAGCGGTCTGAACCCTGACCCCGGAGGTCAGAGTCCGTCCCCAGAGAGGACAGAGATCACCTCTGACCCCGGAGGTCAGAGTCCGTCCCCAGAGAGGACAGAGATCACCTCTGACCCCGGAGGTCAGAGATGGATTCAGCGTCCTCAGCAACACCCGTCCAAATCAAGTCATTCGAGGTTCGATCAGCAACTTCAGCCCTGATCAGAAATACCAAATATTTAATCATTTTCAGGATTTTAACCCTTTAAATGCCATTCTGAAAACATGAGATCTGTTGATTTAATGAGAAAAACAGAGAACATTTTGTTATTTTCCACACAATGAATATCTAGGGAATGGCTTCTTTATCACACTCTTGGACATGTCAAAGATTGGCAACAAAATAGATTCAGGTGCATTATTAGTTTTTGCACAGTCGGATTGAAAACCCTAATGAGTCACTCAGGATCCAGGAGGGTCCACTAGTGCTCCAATGCTAATGGACACAGCCTACTCTAATGGCGCAGTTCCACTGCAGCGCGGAGCTCGCTTTAAGCGTGCCGTGTCGTGCCGTCCCCTTTTTTGGTTGTGCTTCCACTAGGCCTCGTTCCGGCGCGGCACGGCGCGGGGCCACTTTTTCCCCTCTTTTCTGGCCCTAGAAAATTGTGGTTCTATCGGGGCCAACAAGCAGGGCTGAGTCGGGCTGAGTATGCTAAACTAGAGAGAGGAGCGCTGGCAAGAGGGCTAGAACTACAACAAGATGGACATATTTGACCGTGATTTAATTGTAATACACGTTTCTAAATGATGAAGTAACAACATACTGATACCGGTTAGTAAAAACCATGAATTAATGCTTTGTCAAGTCTGCAGACAGACGGCAGGAGAAACACCTTTTAAAATGCGTGTTTTCTGAATGGAGATTGGCTAAGCTAACGCAGTATATGCCCCGACCGTCCACACTCACAACAACGGCCTACAGACATAAATAAAGCAGCGACTGTATTCACCATGACACAGGCAGTCTGTGGTTTGTACTTGTTTAACTTTTGTCGAGTTTCTGAACAGATATGAGGAGCTGTGAGCTCTGAGTGCTCACAGCTAACGGCTGTGTTGGTTTTGTGTTTCTCATTGAAGATGACGTCACGGCTCCGCCTACACTGCGTTACTATAGTTACTACCCCAGTTCCTAAACTGTAATGGAAGCGCAGCATGAAGTGAGTCGGCCCTGTTAAGGCCCAACGCGGCCAAGCCGTACCGAGCCGTACCGAGTGTGGCCGAGGCCGACCGTGTAGTGGAAATGCGCCATAAGTGTGTGAATGTCCCAACGTCTGCGGGTCCAGCTGTCTCTGAGCGGAGACTCTTTCTATCAGAACCCTTTAGCACAAGGCTCACTCTGACAGCTACACAAGGTTCACTCTGACAGCTACACAAGGTTCACTCTGACAGCTACACAAGGTTCACTCTGACAGCTACACAAGGTTCACTCTGACAGCTACACAAGGCTCACTCTGACAGCTACACAAGGTTCACTCTGACAGCTACACAAGGTTCACTCTGACAGCTACACAAGGTTCACTCTGACAGCTACACAAGGTTCACTCTGACAGCTGCACAAGGTTCACTCTGACAGCTACACAAGGTTCACTCTGACAGCTGCACAAGGTTCACTCTGACAGCTACACAAGGTTCACTCTGACAGCTACACAAGGTTCACTCTGACAGCTACACAAGGCTCACTCTGACAGCTACACAAGGTTCACTCTGACAGCTACACAAGGTTCACTCTGACAGCTGCACAAGGTTCACTCTGACAGCTGCACTCACTCATCAAAACAGAGAGGACTCACTGACCAATTCTTAAAACCTGAAACCAGACAAACAAGAACAATAAGAGAGAGCGATCAAAGTAAAGGGGGAGACACAGAGAGACTCCCAGCACCCCCTCTTAATGTCCTGATCTGGATCACCTGGACACACACACAGGAGGAAAGGAGGTCCGGGCTCAGCAGGGTTAACATGCTGTGGTTAAGCCACGCCCCCTCTGCTCTGATTGGCTGTGGGTGTTTCCCTCTTCCAGAGTTCCAGAGAGCTGTCAGAGTAGAACCTGCAGAACCTCAGAGGACCTCAGAGAACCTCAGAGCAGCAGCATGGGTGAGCAGTGCGTGTGTGTGTGTGTGTGTGTGTGCATGTGTGCGTGTGTGTGTGTGCATGTGTGCATGTGCGTGTGTGCGTGTGTGTGTGTGTGTGCTGTTAACATGTTGTTGGGGTAAATATTTCATATACCTGCAAAACTATTTACATTAAAGTAAACAGACTCTGTCCTCATGACTGTGTGTGTGTGTGTGTGTGTGTGTGTGTGTGTGTGTGTGTGTGTGTGTGTGTGTGTGTGTGTGTGTGTGTGTGTGTGTGTGTGTGTGTGTGTGTGTGTGTGAGACTGCAGGACAAAGAGAGCAGCTCTCTCTCTGAGACTCATTCACATTCAGACCGGCTGCTCTAAATGTGAATGAGTTATATAAGAGTATGTTGGATTATCTCAGAGTCTCTGATGATATGAATGTGTTCAGGACATTTTAAACAAACTGTGTGTGTGTGTGTGTGTGTGTGTGTGTGTGTGTGTGTGTGTGTGTGTGTGTGTGTGTGTGTGTGTGTGTGTGTGTGTGTGTGTGTGAGAGAGTGCTGTTAACATGTTGTTGGTGTGCAGAATTAATATACCAGTATGACTTGAATATTATTTCAAAACTCTCAACATTAAAGTAAACGGGCTCTCTGTCCTCATTGTGTGTGTGTGTGTGTGTGTGTGTGTGTGTGTGTGTGTGTGTGTGTGTGTGTGTGTGTGTGTGTGTGTGTGTGTGTGTGTGTGTGTGTGTGTGTGTGTGTGTGTGTGTGTGTGTGTGTGTGAGCGCAACCGGAAATGTTTGTGCACACACACGGGCTGCATTCCAAACCTCATTGAGTGTGTACTACTCTCGCATTAAACCTTGACCTCTTATATCAGCGGTGCAAAGGATTGTGGGTCAGAATGATCGCTGCTCTACATCCTGGCTCTCTGGCCCATCACTGGGTGTTTCTCAATGTCGAGTAAAGCTGCTTCAGAGCCACTATTTCAAGCATGCTACGTCATCGAGTGCCGCCGAAGTACTGTTCCAATCTCCAGCATACTTGGAAATCTACCGAGCCCGGCGTACTCCGTTTGGAGAAATATCGAGGCTGCACATGAGTAGACTCCGTGGTCTTAAAATCCCCACAATGCTTTGCGCACGGACCAATTTCCAAAATCTGTGGCAGAAGATGTAAGAGGCGGGGCCTCTCATATGACGCACACCTGCACACTTGCTAGCCTGTTCCACTCTTTGTTTTCCAAATGCCAGGAAGTATTCTTGACTCGCTTCTGAAGCAAGATGCTCGGCAGACATGTGCTACCAAGCAAGCGTACTCGACATTGAGAAACACCCTGAGTGTATTATTGTGGGGGGGGGGTGAGAATAGAATTATTGGATTAAAAGGTGTGTGTGTGTGTGTGTGTGTGTGTGTGTGTGTGTGTGTGTGTGTGTGTGTGTGTGTGTATGTGTGTGTTTTGATATGCTTCATATATTAGATAATAATCTCTAACTCCTGCAGATGGTACCAACACGCTGCAACAGGTATGATGAAGGTGTGGCGCTGGGCATCCAAAGTTGAAAGTTGAACTCGCTCCGTAGCAGATATTCCCACGAGAGTGCGGAAAACTTAAAATACATTTATTTCAAATGTGACATTTTACCAATATACTCACGGACCACACAAGGAAGGATCCTTCAGAGCCACTACTTCAAGCATACTACGTCATCGAGTCCCGCCGAAGGACTGTTCCAATAGGCGCGTTCACACCAAGTACTTTGCCGTACTCAGTGCCGGCACTTATGACCCCAGGGCACTTAGTACAGATCGCGTTCACACCAGAGTACTTTTCCCTGAGGGAAGATTACGCAAATGAGCCGCTGACGTCACTTCTTCTTCTTCTGCTCTGGGTTTACTGGCAGGCAGCAAACCACTTCACGGCGTATACTGCCACCCGGAGTCCCCGGCCGGAAGTCCCTGGAGTTGGGGAAGGCTTCAGTCGAAGCTGCTGGGACTCCCAGCAGCTTCGACTGAAGCCTTCAGAGGAAATCGCCAGAACGCCGACACCTCCTCATCTCCACCGCTCCCATGTTTTCTTTTGTGTTGCCATAAGTTAGTCTCTCTGCGTTTGTGCGCTGGGCTAATGCTAATGCTAATAATGCTAAAGCCAGGATAATAAAATGGCGGCTCTACAAAACATTTCACAGTTGTACGGGGCGTGGTTTGCAATTGGCCCAGCCGATCAGAACTGGGGCACTTTTTTCCCCCAAGAGAGTACCATCTCTCAGCAGGCACTAAAAATGGGGGTAAAAGTTCCCGAGATGAAGTGCTCTTTTTGGTGAGAACGCGACATAAGGGGTACTAACGCAACTAAACGCGAAAAGTACGGTGAAAAGTACTCCGGTGTGAACGCGCCTATTGTCCAGGATCCTTGGAATTCTACCGAGGATTGAGTCCTTCGTAGCGAGAAATTTCGAGGCCGCACATGTGTATCCTCCGCGGTCTTAAATTACCCACAATGCTTTGCGTATGTTCGTGGTAAATGTGCACATGACTTGTGTTTAAAGTTTAGTCCGTTTGAGTTTTGCCCGTGTGAACGCAAACCGAACCTTCTGAAACATGAAGCAATGGAACAGACTGACCATGTCCTACCAAGGAAGCGTCGAGGAAGGTTGCTCCAGAGCCACTATTCAAGCATACTACGTCATCAAGTGCCGCCGAAGGACTGTTCCAATGTCCAGGATCCTTGGAATTCTACCGAGGCCGGTGTACTTCGTGCGGGAAATTTCGAGGCTGCACATGTGTATCCTCCGCGGTCTTAAAATCCCCACAATGCTTTGCGCACGGACCGATTTCCAAAATCTTTGGTGGAAATCGCGCTCCATTTAAGGCGGGGCCTTGTTTTTTGTTTGTTTTATCTGAGTGTTCCAGGGTATTCTCTGAATACCTGAAGGTCCTGACGGTTCACCACTGACAGTGTGTTTACTTTAATGTTGAGAGTTGTGAAATAATATTAAAAACATACTAACATCAGAGACAATAGAGAGATATGAGCGACGTCAGGTGAGCTAACGTGCTAGGTCTGTTAGCACGATGTTAACAGGTGTTGTTGTGTTTCAGCCGGATGTAAAGGATGTGGACCGGGTTACAGCAGCCCATTGGACGCCATGAAGGGTGAGACATTTACTCATAAGAGGCTTCTCAATTCTTACATTTCCCCTCCTCGACTCCTCGGTCGTCCGGTAGTGACCCGGAAATGTATTTCAGCGCGCCATGTTGAAGGACATCTCATTTCTCTAAATGCACATCGAGGTCCGAGCATCGAGGAGGCTCTCTGGAGGAGCTCTAACCGAGGAGACACTGATGGGTCCTCCACGGTCCTCCACGGCTCCTCCAGGATGCATTTCCGGGAACAGAGATGTTTCAAAGAGTCGTGACGCACGGCCGGACTTATCTCAGCCAATCACAGCTCTGCATGCATCCCCTGGATATTATTTTAGTAACTGCTTGAATCAGACGCGATGTTTCCAGAGAGAACAGCTGTGAGGTCCGTGCAGAAAGCACCAAGACCATTTAGTGCTTCACATAATAAAATACACAACGGCTGTAGCCTGATTATGCTTTAGGAGCTGTGTGTGGTACAGTGTGTAGGTGTGTGTGGTACAGTGTGTAGGTGTGTGTGGTACAGTGTGTAGGTGTGTGTGGTACAGTGTGTAGGTGTGTGTGTGGTACAGTGTGTAGGTGTGTGTTGTACAGTGCGTAGATGCGGCGGACAGACAGGTCTCAGGTGGTTTGGTGTCCTCTGCTTACTTTTAATACTTGTAAATACAACTTTTGGCCCGTAATTTAAATTCCCCATTTCAGCGACCAGAGAGAGGGGGGGGGATATATTCAGTCTCTGATTGTGTTACGTTATTATGAGAGTGCTCTCATACTTTAAATTGTATATATTTATATAAATATATGTGTGTGTATATGTCTGCATCTGTAGCCTGTTATTGTCTCATTATACCGCACTGTGAATTAATTAAAGTAAATATATAAGTGGTCATGAACACATCTGTCCATGAGACAGAGGGCTGCTGTGCCTCCTGTCATCATTAATGGACGTCTCTTTAAAATGACCGCTCAGAGGAGAGGAGTTCTCATTTCTCTAACCGCCTGCTGCTTCCCCTCCTCTCTCCTCGGCTCCCCTCCTCGACTCCTCCGCTCGCATCTCCTGTGGGCGGGACTAACTCACGAGGATAGGAGTCGAGGAGGGGAGTCGAGGAGGGGAAATGTAAGAATTGAGAAGCCTCTATAGACTTCTATACAATCTGAGGTAATCAAGAGAGAAGTAGGAACATTTCCTCATAGACTTCTATACAGTCGCCCCCTGCTGGGTATAATAGACGATGCAGCTTTAAGGAGGTTTTTAGATATTTCTCTATAAAACAGACTTGGTTGTGTTTCCTGCTGCAGGTCCTCGGGAGGAGATCGTTTATCTCCCCTGTATTTACTGTAACACCGGCATCCTGAAACCAGATTACCTGGCCACCGTTGATGTTGACCCGAAGTCACCCACCTACTGTAAGGTAACAATTCTTGACTTTTTCAAAAAAATTCTGACTTTCCACAAATTCTGATTTTTTCTCAAAATCTCAAAATTCTGACTTTTTAGAAAAATTCTGTCTTTCAAAAAAATCTGACTTTTTCTATAAAAAATCTGACTTTTTCAAAAAATTCTGACTTTTTCTATAAAAAAATCTGACTTTTTCAAAAAAATCTGACTTTTTCAAAGAATCTGACTTTTTCAAAAAATCTGACTTTTTCTAAAATGTCTGACTTTTACAAAAAATTCGGACTTTTTCTAAAATGTCTGACTTTAACAAAAAAATCGGACTTTTTCTAAAATGTCCAATATGGTCTAGCTACAGCAAGATAGTACACGACACGCCCCCTACACGACGGTACACGACACGCCCCCTACACGACGGTACACGACACGCCCCCTACACGGCACTACGGTGGCTGAGAGACGTTGATACCGTACATGGCAGATTAAAAACGAATTGCAAATGTTATTGTAGCATTTTAAGCAACTATTTGGCAAATAAATTAATAACCTAGTCTATCCGTTTGAGACACAACAGTATATGACTTTAAGCACAAATCATTTTGTCTCATTAATAAATTAAAACAAAAAGGGGGCTTAGTAAACTTTATTTTTGAGTACATATAAAATAGGTAATAATGAGATCTATTAATTGTGTTAGATATAAATGTAGATATTTATGAACATCTAAACATAGTTGTTACAGGTTTTAAGATATAAATAATCACATCATGGGGTCATTAAGGTTTCAAACAGGTTCATGTAAGGTAGGCCTACTATAACATGAAAACATGAGCCTGTAGTTTGGTATGTTATTGATATGGGCTGGACACCCCTTCACAGCGATCATCATTGACTTTCTTTAGACCAGATTAGGAGGGCCAGTCAGGCCACTAATGAGCTCAATCATTCACATGTATTATTACTTTATAGATTAAGAGTACTAGGGGTCTATTACAAAACCTTTGAAGGAATCGTCATGCATTCTGAATGTTTCTGTACTTTAAAAACATCATGGCTCAAGATCCTGTTCTTGTTCAAGATTATTCACTCATTTGTGAATTTAACATCCATATTCACTCAAAACTGAAACTAAAACATTTTTTGTTAAAGCATTGCAGGCCTAAAGCTCCACGCCAGTGACCTATATTTAATTTTCTTCCATCAAACTTTAAAAATGGCAAACAGCATGTTTTTAAAGATTTAATCTTTTAAGAAACAAAATATCAACTTTGAACAGAAGGGTTTAAAAACACGTTTTTAATGCAAATAAACTTGAAACATAAACCTATTTGTCATTTCAAAATTCACTTGTATTGTCTGCGTGAAAGGCACAGTAGGCTATGAGCGAATACATATCAACATTCAAAAATTACAAAGTCGTACAATATATACTGTCTACTATATACTGCTACTGTCTAGGATTAAGTATGGTGAGACTTTTCAGCCCGCGACTCCCAAAATAACATGCCAGAGACTGGGGACCCCCGACGGGATAGTGATCTCCAGTGTGCTGGGCAGTGTGGCGGCGGAGGGAGCCGAGGGCACTTTCTAAAATTCTGACTTTTTCTAAAATGTCTGACTTTTTCAAAAATGTCAGAATCAGAATCAGAATCAGAATCAGAATCAGAGTCAGAGTCAGAGTCAGAATCAGAGTCAGAATCAGAGTCAGAGTCAGAATCAGAGTCAGAATCAGAGTCAGAGTCAGAATCAGAGTCAGAGTCAGAATCAGAATCAGAGTCAGAGTCAGAATCAGAGTCAGAATCAGAGTCAGAATCAGAGTCAGAGTCAGAATCAGAATCAGAGTCAGAGTCAGAATCAGAGTCAGAATCAGAGTCAGAGTCAGAGTCAGAATCAGAGTCAGAGTCAGAATCAGAGTCAGAATCAGAGTCAGAGTCAGAGTCAGAATCAGAGTCAGAATCAGAGTCAGAATCAGAGTCAGAGTCAGAATCAGAGTCAGAGTCAGAATCAGAGTCAGAGTCAGAATCAGAGTCAGAGTCAGAATCAGAGTCAGAATCAGAGTCAGAGTCAGAATCAGAGTCAGAGTCAGAATCAGAGTCAGAGTCAGAATCAGAGTCAGAGTCAGAATCAGAGTCAGAGTCAGAATCAGAATCAGAGTCAGAGTCAGAATCAGAGTCAGAGTCAGAATCAGAATCAGAGTCAGAGTCAGAATCAGAGTCAGAGTCAGAATCAGAGTCAGAGTGTCCATGTGTAACATCAACAGACAAAACATCAAGACACATGAGAAACAAACATGTAACATCACAGTGAGAGAAAAGCTGCTCAAAGAGCCTTCAGCGTGATCTGATCTGGATCATTATTATCACATATCCATATACCTGTCCTCTCACAGTGTGTGTCCTCTCAGGTAGTGTGTCCTCTCTCAGGTGATCAGTAGTGTGTCCTCTCTCAGGTGATCAGTAGTGTCTCTCTCAGGTGATCAGTAGTGTCTCTCTCAGGTGATCAGTAGTGTCTCTCTCAGGTGATCAGTAGTGTCTCTCTCAGGTGATCAGTAGTGTGTCCTCTCTCAGGTGATCAGTAGTGTCTCTCTCAGGTGATCAGTAGTGTCTCTCTCAGGTGATCAGTAGTGTCTCTCTCAGGTGATCAGTAGTGTGTCCTCTCTCAGGTGATCAGTAGTGTCTCTCTCAGGTGATCAGTAGTGTCTCTCTCAGGTGATCAGGTGTCTCTGTCCTCTCTCAGGTGATCAGGTGTCTCTGTCCTCTCTCAGGTGATCCACCGCCTGCCGATGCCTAACCTTCGGGACGAGCTGCACCACTCGGGCTGGAACGCCTGCAGCAGCTGCTTCGGAGACGCCTCCAAGAAGAGGAACCGTCTGATCCTGCCGTCACTCATCTCCTCCAGGATCTACGTGGTGGACGTGGGGACAAACCCCCGAGCGCCACAGATGCACAAGGTGAACCGAGCCGGACCCGTGTCCTTTAGCCCCGCCCACTTCCTCCTGACCAGAGTGGGAAGTATTTGAGTACAAATACTTTGTTACTGTACTTTGTTAAGTACATGTTTCTGGTATCAGTACTTTACTCCACTACTTATTTTTCTGACCACTTTTTACTTTTACTTCTTACATTTTGAACACAAATACCTGTACTTTCTACTTCTTACATGTTGAACACAAATACCTGTACTTTCTACTTCTTACATGTTGAACCCAAATACCTGTACTTTCTACTTCTTACATGTTGAACACAAATACCTGTACTTTCTACTTCTTACATGTTGAACCCAAATACCTGTACTTTCTACTTCTTACATGTTGAACACAAATACCTGTACTTTCTACTTCTTACATGTTGAACCCAAATACCTGTACTTTCTACTTCTTACATGTTGAACACAAATACCTGTACTTTCTACTTCTCACATGTTGAACCCAAATACCTGTACTTTCTACTTCTTACATGTTGAACACAAATACCTGTACTTTCTACTTCTTACATGTTGAACACAAATATCTGTACTTTCTACTTCTTACATGTTGAACACAAATATCTGTACTTTCTACTTCTTACATGTTGAACACAAATATCTGTACTTTCTACTTCTTACATGTTGAACACAAATACCTGTACTTTCTACTTCTTACATGTTGAACCCAAATACCTGTACTTTCTACTTCTTACATGTTGAACACAAATACCTGTACTTTCTACTTCTTACATGTTGAACTCAAATACCTGTACTTTCTACTTCTTACATGTTGAACCCAAATACCTGTACTTTCTACTTCTTACATGTTGAACACAAATACCTGTACTTTCTACTTCTTACATGTTGAACACAAATACCTGTACTTTCTACTTCTTACATGTTGAACCCAAATACCTGTACTTTCTACTTCTTACATGTTGAACACAAATACCTGTACTTTCTACTTCTTACATGTTGAACACAAATACCTGTACTTTCTACTTCTTACATGTTGAACACAAATACCTGTACTTTCTACTTCTTACATGTTGAACCCAAATACCTGTACTTTCTACTTCTTACATGTTGAACACAAATACCTGTACTTTCTACTTCTCACATGTTGAACCCAAATACCTGTACTTTCTACTTCTCACATTTTCCAAACAGGCTGGTTCCTTTAGTTTGAATGTGTGTTTGGTGGCGTGATCATTATTATTTAGAGTCATTGCGTGCCTATTGATTTGAACACGATCCGTGTATCCATCATTTCCTGGTCTTCTCTAAAGAAGAGGGACCAATGAAAACGTTGTCATGTTGCCGTTGTTCAGCATGGAAACATTCATTAGCTAACAATGACATTATTGTTCTATTAATATAAAGGGAGGTCAGGTACTCTTTAAAACAGCTGCTAGTTATGGGTACTTTTTACTGAAGTACATTTCAAAGCCTCTTTACTTTGACTTGAGTAAAGAAGTTTAGTCAGTACTTCTACTTTTACCAGAGTATTTTTAAACACGAGTATCTGTACTTCTACTTGAGTAAAGGATGTGTGTACTTCTACTTGAGTAAAGGATGTGTGTACTTCTACTTGAGTACAGGATGTGTGTACTTCTACTTGAGTACAGGATGTGTGTACTTCTACTTGAGTACAGGATGTGTGTACTTCTACTTGAGTACAGGATGTGTGTACTTCTACTTGAGTACAGGATGTGTGTACTTCTACTTGAGTACAGGATGTGTGTACTTCTACTTGAGTACAGGATGTGTGTACTTCTACTTGAGTACAGGATGTGTGTACTTCTACTTGAGTACAGGATGTGTGTACTTCTACTTGAGTACAGGATGTGTGTACTTCTACTTGAGTACAGGATGTGTTTACTTCTACTTGAGTACAGGATGTGTGTACTTCTACTTGAGTACAGGATGTGTGTACTTCTACTTGAGTACAGGATGTGTGTACTTCTACTTGAGTAAAGAGTACAGGATGTGTGTACTTCTACTTGAGTACAGGATGTGTGTACTTCTACTTGAGTACAGGATGTGTGTACTTCTACTTGAGTACAGGATGTGTGTACTTCTACTTGAGTACAGGATGTGTGTACTTCTACTTGAGTACAGGATGTGTGTACTTCTACTTGAGTAAAGAGTACAGGATGTGTGTACTTCTACTTGAGTAAAGAGTACAGGATGTGTGTACTTCTACTTGAGTAAAGAGTACAGGATGTGTGTACTTCTACTTGAGTACAGGATGTGTGTACTTCTACTTGAGTACAGGATGTGTGTACTTCTACTTGAGTACAGGATGTGTGTACTTCTACTTGAGTACAGGATGTGTGTACTTCTACTTGAGTACAGGATGTGTGTACTTCTACTTGAGTACAGGATGTGTGTACTTCTGCCTCTCTGCTCGTGATGAAGAATGACGCAGCGTCACAGAACTGACTTCACAGCTTCAGTCGCTTCGACTCTTTCTCGGAGCAGATGAGAAACGCTTTTCACATGAAGGGAGATCCCAGGTCCTGCAGGTTAGAGCCGGCCTGAGGGTCCTGCAGGTTAGAGCCGGCCTGAGGGTCCTGCAGGTTAGAGCCGGCCTGAGGGTCCTGCAGGTTAGAGCCGGCCTGAGGGTCCTGCAGGTTAGAGCCGGCCTGAGGGTCCTGCAGGTTAGAGCCGGCCTGAGGGTCCTGCAGGTTAGAGCCGGCCTGAGGGTCCTGCAGGTTAGAGCCGGCCTGAGGGTCCTGCAGGTGAGAGCCGGCCTGAGGGTCCTGCAGGTTAGAGCCGGCCTGAGGGTCCTGCAGGTTAGAGCCGGCCTGAGGGTCCTGCAGGTGAGAGCCGGCCTGAGGGTCCTGCAGGTGAGAGCCGGCCTGAGGGTCCTGCAGGTTAGAGCCGGCCTGAGGGTCCTGCAGGTTAGAGCCGGCCTGAGGGTCCTGCAGGTTAGAGCCGGCCTGAGGGTCCTGCAGGTTAGAGCCGGCCTGAGGGTCCTGCAGGTTAGAGCCGGCCTGAGGGTCCTGCAGGTTAGAGCCGGCCTGAGGGTCCTGCAGGTTAGAGCCGGCCTGAGGGTCCTGCAGGTGAGAGCCGGCCTGAGGGTCCTGCAGGTGAGAGCCGGCCTGAGGGTCCTGCAGGTTAGAGCCGGCCTGAGGGTCCTGCAGGTTAGAGCCGGCCTGAGGGTCCTGCAGGTGAGAGCCGGCCTGAGGGTCCTGCAGGTGAGAGCCGGCCTGAGGGTCCTGCAGGTTAGAGCCGGCCTGAGGGTCCTGCAGGTGAGAGCCGGCCTGAGGGTCCTGCAGGTTAGAGCCGGCCTGAGGGTCCTGCAGGTTAGAGCCGGCCTGAGGGTCCTGCAGGTTAGAGCCGGCCTGAGGCGGTCTGTCAGCTTTGAGGGCTCGTAGAGACCTGATGGAGCCATGTGGAGCGCTGATGTGGAAGTGGGTCAATCTAAACTGAGTTGGGAAAACAACAGACGCGACCTGGACAGGAAGTGACCCCCCGGCTGAGGGTTCATTCATCTCACTGTCAGGGGCTCCGCTTGGGGCCCCGGACCAGAAGGGGGCCCCCAAAGAAGGTAGATTAAGAAGGTCCACAGCAACGACAACATGAAACACCCTTTAATTTACTGCAACGACATGTCGGGAAACCCCCTCGAGGGGGCCTCATGCATAGAGCGCCGTAAAATGCTGCTTGTTATCTTAAGTTTCATTGCCTTGCTCCGCTCCGGGGGGGGGGGGGTTGTCGGCTGTGGTGATGAAAAGCTGGTTGGAGGGGCCCCCAGTGAATGTTTGCCTAGGGCCCCCACACACTCTAGAATCACCATTGCTCACTGTATTTCTTCTCAGACACTTGATGGAGCGTGGACAGTCAGCAGGCACAATGGAAACACGTGGCGTTGTGCAAATCGATCTGAAGCTCGACAGTTTTTAGGGTATCTAACATGTCTGGAGTCAGTGAGAAGTTATTAAAGGAGTGCTCTTTAGCTCGACGTTAGAAGAAGAACTTACAAATGTCTAACTGGAGATGAAATGGAGGAGGAGGAGGAAGAGGAGGAGGAGGAAGAAGAGGAGGTCGCTCAGTTCAGATGCTGAAGTCTCCCAGCTGCTGTTTAAATCTTCACATATTTGACAGGCCTCGTCCAGAGCATGTGACCTGGGACTAAAGTGTGTGTGCAGCCTGATGGAAATGTGCTGAGTCATGGTGTAATGATTAATCCTCCTTAGAGGACTTGAACTCAAGAGTGAGGACACGCTGCCAGAGACACAGCTGGGAGATTATTTATCAGGGCCGACTCCTGGTTTCACAATCAGACCCTGACCACACATTGACCCTGTGATCCGGATCCAGCCAGATCCTGCAGGACGTGTTTTCATCGAAATCAATTCAGGTTTCCTCTGAAAGCGGGCAAAGAGTTCACATTCAGTCACTTCACAAGGACTTGTAAACACCAGCGCTGTGTTTATCCTCGCCTTGTGATTTATATCTGAAGGATTCCTGGGAGTCAGTGAGCTGTAGCGCTCCCAGCAGCTGCAGCTCAATCCCTCACAAACTCCCTGGTGTCCGGAGCAGATTTACTTTCTGAAAACCTTTCCATGAACCTCTGTGGGACTCAGAATGTAGTTTACAGTTGTGCAGGAATGAGTCCTAAACCCTGGCATGAGTCAGCATCACTTCCTGTCTCCTGGTCTGGAGGTCAATGGTTCTCTGAACGTGTTTTTGTTGTTATCCTGAAATCAGAGGCCTGTACTACGAAGCTGGATGTTCTCTTAGCTAACTTCAGGGAAAACTCTGGGTTTCCGGTCCTACGACGCTGGTTCTCTTTTTAACGGGCTAGATCTCCATGGTAACTGATGCTGAGCGGCTAACCTGCTCCGGAGGAGGTTAGGTTGCAGGCTAAGAGATCAACTCAGTGAAAGCACCGCCTGCTGACCAATCAGAGCTCAGTGTGCGGAGTTTAAAGCGATCAAGTCATATTACAGGATAGAGGAAATACAGAAAAACTGCCGTTGCAGGAAAGACGGCCGGCAAAAATCAACTGACTGTGTGAACGTGAACATTAATAGAATATCCCCTCCTCCTATCTTCAGAGCAATCTGACTATTATAACATTAGCGTTAAGAAAGCTTACTTAAATATCTGCCACAACATAAGTAACCGGATCAGAGTAACATTAAGTACAGTCCGCGGCACTGTGAGTGCAGACGTCGATGTGTCCCATTATCATTCATATCATATCACATCATAATCAGAGATGGGGTCGTTACTAAAAAAAAGTAATATATTACATATTACATATTACTTTAAAAAAAAGTAATATATTACACTACTTCGTTACTCTCTACATAAAGTAACTCGTTACTTTACTCGTTACTTTACTCGTTACTTTACTCGCAGGGCCGGCCCGCCCCTCCCTACAGGCAGATCACGCAGACTGCTAAAGTTTCAAATGTTCTCTTTAGTTCAGTTTCCATTGTCGCATAAGACTGATCCAGATAGCTCCGACTATGGCTGTCCTCTGTCTCCTGCTATCTGTATTTTGCGCAGTATATCTCTGAACGATGCGATGGTGATTCCACTGTGCAAATGGGCAACATTACCTCTACTATGAAGGATGCTACAAGCCTGTCCATCTCTGCTTTGGTTACCGGTCCTCCAAATTCTAATTTGTGCTGCTTCGGAGTCGGCGGCGGCGCACTCACAACATCCTCACTCTGGGTTCGGGGGTCCTTAGCTATTAGCTTCACCTTAGCATGTGTTCTTTGCAGGTGTTTGTTGAGATTTGACGTGGTGTTTGCAGCAGTGGATAACAGCTTCTGGCCTGGACACAGTTTGCACCTCACCGTCACATTCCTGTCTATTCTTCGGACGAACTCAAAATAATGGGCATACCTCCACCCCTCGAAAGTTATCGCTGACTCAGCCATGTTTATGCAGCACTGCACGCGGAGATGTGGACGTGCAAGTCGCGCAGATTACGTACATAGAAACCTGCGGCGGAAACCCCTCTTGTCTGTCAGTGTGATTATGACTGATTTTATAAAAGTAACGAAGTAACGCGTGTCGGGGCAATGTTAGTAACTGTAGTGTGATTACTGAATTATAAAAGTAACGCGTTACACTACTCCGTTACCGACAAAAGTAATATTATTACAGTAACGCGTTACACCCAACTCTGATCATAATGTATCATATCTCCTTATCTGAGTCAGCTGAGCCGTATCTGGCCGTGCAACACTCACAGTGTCACATACTGGATGCAGAAGTATTATTTTAAGCAACACATTAAGTTGATGAAACCCTGGAGTCAAATGTAATGAAAGTCAGATTGTGTCTTAGACGGGGCAGTGATATCATAAACCTGTTAATGTACGCATTCAAACACTTTCTCTGTTACCAGCTGTATTCACCTTGCAGGTGCAGCTATGTGGCTTTGATCCTGGATAAAGTGTTTAAGTCATGGATGTTTAAAGTTTAACTTCTTCATATTTGACTAATATTAAAGTTCACTTTTCATTCAGGAAGTATGACGCTGCGCTGTCAGTACGCTTGTCCATGTTTGTGATTGGTCGAATGCTCCAGATACCACCCCTTTCATGTGAACGCACACCTAACTAGATAGGACACGGCTGGCTTGAGCGATTCACTTGATAACCAGCGTCGTAGGACCGCTTAGCGAGAGCGCGTATGTTTTGGATTGGGCCAACCGGCTAACTCAAACATATCCAGGTTATGTTGAACCGGCTTCGTAGTACAGGCCTCTGGCTTCGTAGTACAGGCCTCTGGCTTCGTAGTACAGGCCTCAGGCTTCGTAGTACAGGCCTCTGGCTTCGTAGTACAGGCCTCTGGCTTCGTAGTACAGGCCTCAGGCTTCGTAGTACAGGCCTCAGGCTTCGTAGTACAGGCCTCTGGCTTCGTAGTACAGGCCTCTGGCTTCGTAGTACAGGCCTCTGGCTTCGTAGTACAGGCCTCTGGCTTCGTAGTACAGGCCTCTGGCTTCGTCGTACAGGCCTCTGGTCTGAGGTTAACTCAAGCTGAGGAGACTTTAACGCTTTGTTCTACCACCTAAAATACTTCACTAAATACCCCACTGGTGAGTTTAAAAACGGAGGTTGCTAACAAGAGTCTGAATGAGTATCAGAAACGTTTGTTTGACATAATCCAAAATCACATGGAGGAATCCCATTGAGAGAGAAGTAGGAACATTTCCTCCTAGACTTCTAAAGGATCAGAGAGTGGACCTCCTGTCAGTCTGAAGGTCAGGTCTGACGTTCTTCCTGCTGATTGGTGGTGTGTTTGCTCCTCAGATGGTGGAGCCCGTGGATCTGTTCTGGAAGTGCGGCCTGGCCAACCCTCACACCACCCACTGCCTGGGCAACGGGCAGATCATGATCAGCTGCATGGGAGAACCAGGGGGCAACGGCAAGGGTGA